GAGAGAGAGAGAGAGAGAGAGAGAGAGAGAGAGAGAGAGAGAGAGAGAGAGAGAGATTTGCAGTTGAATGTGGAGGGTGGAAGAGAGGTGTAGTGGTGGGGGAGATAGTGCATCTGTATGGTTATTATGATGGAATGGTGATTGGAGGAAGCTTGGCAAGGTGGAATGAATACGGAAGGATTGTTGAGGGGCAAGAAGTTTGTGTGTGAATGGACGTGGTCTGTCTGTAATTCGACTGAGGGGCCACAATATGCATGTTGTTTGGTTGTACCAGGAAAGAAAGCTGTTTGATGAACGGTTTATCCGGCTTGACACGAGGCGGTTGTGCGAACTGACGTCTGCTGCTGACAGCTTGGACATGAAGCCTCTGGTGGACTTGACGAGCAGGGCACTGGCTCGTATGATCGAAGGCAAGACGGCCGAAGAAATCCGTGAGACCTTCCACCTTCCAGATGACTTAACTGAGGTGGATGTCGGCATCTTCATCCTGTTGTTTCTCCGATGTGTATGCTTGTCTCCATGGAAATAAACTGTGTGTATGTCTGAATGAAGCAAAACCCTCGTGTGTGATTTGCAGTTTTCAAAATATATATATCTGTCAGAAAGTCTGGAGTGTTTACATGGTTCTGTGTGGTTTCAGTGTCCTGGTTTCCATGGAGCTGATGCAAACAGGGAGTGAGCACTGCACTGATCATCACCCATCTGCGCAGTTAGCCCCGTGCTGTCCCCCTCCCCCTCCCCCTCCCCCCCCATTATGCATTATGCTGGGGTCTGCCCTTCCCATTGCTGTGTAACGGGACTGCTGCGTTTTCAGGGTCTCCATGCTGTGGAGTTCTGCTGTGGCCTGTCCACCGACCCCATGGAATGGGGCTGTGGCACATTCAGCTCCCCAAAGTTTGGTGATCCATCCAATAAAGAAAGGAAGGAACAAGGAGCGCCGTGCCTGCAAAAAACAAACAAACAAACAAACAAACAAACAAACAAACAAACAAACACAAACAAACAAACAAACAAACAAACAAACAAACAAACAAACAAACTAACTAACAAGACAAACGAACGAACGAACAAACAGACAAACAAACATTAGCAAACAAGCAAACCAGCAAACAAAACAAACAAACAAACAAACGAACGAACAAACAGACAAACAAACATTAGCAAACAAGCAAACCAGCAAACAAAACAAACCAGCAGACAAACAAACAAGCAAGCAAGCAAGCAAACAAACAAGCAAACAAACAGGCGAACAAACAAATTCGCCAATCACATCTGAAGATTTTTGAGCCACTTGTTTGCCCGAGCGTGGACTTACCGAGTCAGAGGTTGTCTCAGGTGGTCGTTAAAAAAATACATTGTGTTGGTGCTTGGTGTGAACTGTCTCGATCGTGACCTGAAGGTTCAGGTCAGTAGGTGCAGGTTTTTTTAGTTTGTTTAAGGATATGCACCAGCTGCTGTTGTTCTGCAGCCGCTGTTGTTCTGCCGCATGTCCCCTCTGCATACTGCCATTATTCTCAGAACAGGTGGAGGCAGTGATCCTTTAGACTGGGAATGTTATGTGGAAGGTTGTGACATCTGGACCTTGGAATATGGTCTGTGGCAGAAGACCCTAGTCCTGCCACTCAGCCATTGATTTCCCTGTTGTGGAAACCTGCATTTGCCCCTCTGGCAGCTCTGGTCCCACAAGGCTGTCTTTATGTTGTGCCAAGAGCAAGTTTTGGGCCTGTCCCTCAGTCTGAAGTCATTAGCGTCTGCTCAAGACCATCTGCAACTGTTTGCTTCATCTGTGTGTGTAGTCAGTGTGAAATGTAGTTGTGCTGCTATGCTCCACTGCGCTACATGTGTTTGGACTTGCTACTCTGCCCTCTGGGTCTGTGTTGCCTTCTCCAAGGAGTCTGTGTTTCCCTGCATCACCAGTATGAACCCCTTGTTGAAGAAATGATATTGGAATGTGAGCATGGGGGGGGGGTTGAAGGAGTGGAGTCGTTGAGGAAAGAGGTAAACTGGTACGTGCATATACCTGGTTGGGTGATTGCCTTCCCCCCATAGAGCATTGGATTTTGCGAAGGGACATGTCTGGCCGTCTCTCGCTGAGTTGCATTGCCTTTGTCAATATCGAGGTAACACTGCCTGTGGGAGCTGCTGATTTAAGGATGGCTGACTGCTGCTGAACTCCAGGGAAAGTGGTAGCTGATGCTCACCAAGTTTTAGTGAGTTGATGGATGGTATGAAGTTCGTCTTCTTTGTAGAAGACAAAAGGTTTGCTGCAACTGATGTCTGCAGTGCTTTCGTCATTTTATACCTTAAGGGATGGTTACGTGCAGTCGTTTGTTTTCGGAAATTGTAGCTGAATGGTGTAGTCGTTTGTGTTTGAAAACTGTAGATGAATCACTAGGTGCAACACGTAGGTCTTCCATGGGGAACTGGGAGTGTCGCAAAATCCACAGGTTAACGACACCTGCTTCTGTTGCTTGTTACATTTGTGTACTCTTGAATATCACCTGAATGGGGATGTCTATTGTGGCTTCGTGGACGATCCTGCTGTCATGTGCAGGAGGAGAAGCTGGAGCCAGTGAAGAATGCGACGGATGATCCGCGGATAAGACTGCTGAACAGATTGTATGCTCGGAAGCGTGAGGAATTACAAAAAAAGAAAGTGCTAAAGGTAATGTCGGCTGATTTTTTTGATGCAAATGATGCAACTGTATTTCATCTGCCATCGGCCATTAGCCAGGTTGTCTTTTTCTCTGTTCGTCTGTCTGCAGCTTTTTTTTGTGTGTTTTAGTTGGTTTTTTGTGTTGTGTCTACGACTCTACGTAGATAGATATGTCTGGTCTCAAAGGTTTGTGGGGTTGGTATCTTGGTTTACTATTGTCATGAAATGACTGAAGTCAATATGTGACACATGATAGGTAACCAACCCTCCCGTGCGTCTATGACAAACTTTTGATCACCGATTCCTAGGCTAATGGCTGATCGGCAATCTAATGTATTCACTGAGGGACTTTGAAACACGATTGATTATGTAGCCGACAGCAACGGTCTTTGACAGGCCTGTGACGGTGCGTGCAATGCTCAAGGGGATTTTAGTTGCGCTCGGCCCTGTGTGTCTGATGCTGAGCAGTGTTTGTGAAACGGTATTCACCAATTCGTGGTAGCTGAGGCAGATCCCAGGGCTCGATCCCTAGTTCCCCAACTTACCTGTGTACAATACCTGCGTCAACTCGAAGAGTTGAACCTGCGACCTGTAGAACCGCCAGTGGTAGGTAGGTCTGTCGTAGGTCTATAGGTAGCCAGGATTCGATCCGTAGACCTGTAGATTAGAAGGCTAGCTGCAGTCCTTCTAGAAGGTTGGCAAGTGGTCAAGTGGTGCAGGCAAGTGGGCAAGTGGTGTGACTAAAGCAAGCCCCTGTTGGAGACAAGGACAAGTGGCAAGGGCAAATAGTAGGAACCCAGTGCAACTGCACTGCGTCGTAGGGTAGTCGCCATGCAGTCATGGGAGAGAAAGTACCAGTCCAGTCCAGCAAGTACCACGGGGAGGACTGTGTGCACCATGGGCCAGGGATACAGGGCAGACCAACGCAGCGCAGAAGTATAAATCAAGAGGCTGCGTCCAGCCATTCATTCATTCCTGCGGATGCCATGCGGAAGCGCTGCCTTAGCAGCTTGTGCGAGGAGGTCTGCAGTGTGCCCGAAGACGAAGTGGGCAGAGAAGTGTAGTGTAGCGATAGGTAGTGGCAGCTAGCGCTGCCATAGCTGTAGCATAGTGTGTGTGTGTGTTGCGTGTGGGACATCCAGGGTNGCAGATCCCAGGGCTCGATCCCTAGTTCCCCAACTTACCTGTGTACAATACCTGCGTCAACTCGAAGAGTTGAACCTGCGACCTGTAGAACCGCCAGTGGTAGGTAGGTCTGTCGTAGGTCTATAGGTAGCCAGGATTCGATCCGTAGACCTGTAGATTAGAAGGCTAGCTGCAGTCCTTCTAGAAGGTTGGCAAGTGGTCAAGTGGTGCAGGCAAGTGGGCAAGTGGTGTGAMTAAAGCAAGCCCMTGTTGGAGACRAGGACAAGTGGCAAGGGCAAATAGTAGGAACCCAGTGCAACTGCACTGCGTCGTAGGGTAGTCGYCATGCAGTCATGGGAGAGAAAGTACCAGTCCRGTCCAGCAAGTACCACGGGGRGGACTGTGTGCACCATGGGCCAGGGATACAGGGCAGACCAACGCAGCRCAGAAGTATAAATCAAGAGGCTGCGTCCAGCCATTCATTCATTCCTGCGGATGCCATGCGGAAGYGCTGCCTTAGCAGCTTGTGCGAGGAGGTCTGCAGTGTGCCCGAAGACGAAGTGGGCAGAGAAGTGTAGTGTAGCGATAGGTAGTGGCAGCTAGCGCTGCCATAGCTGTAGCATAGCGTGTGTGTGTGTTGCGTATGATACTGAGTGTTGCATGTGGGACATCCAGGGTGATCCAGAGTGCGAACAGTGAGTTGTGTGGGCGCCCGGTCGCCATAGCCAATTGAAGAGAACTCATATCTGGTTACGATATCTTAAGTACTGTCAGGGCGCATGTCGCCAGTTGCTGTATCACTGTTTGCATGCAAGACAAGTGTGAATAATCGGAGTGTGAATGCATTTGTTTGAATCTGCAAGTGTACATTACCCGGGTACCTGCTAGGCGAGTGCATGCAAGCTTGGTTGAAAAGTTGCAGCCACTGTCATGCAGCAGATGGTGTCTGCAAAGCACTGATGTGATGTGGCAAGGCTGTAGAGAAGACCTCTGACAGTCGTGGAACGATAACGGCCATCAGCTTTATGCATCCTTTTGAAACTGTTTCAGGATCAATAAGAAATAAATATATTACATGTGATGCCCCCCAGAATAGAAGTGGCCTGTGCGTGTTGTTTGGAAAAAAAAAATAAAAATAAAAATCGTAAGACAAGAAATATTCATGATGGAACACAAGAGAAAGCACACGAGCAAGTGTGGAAGTAATAAATTCAAAATAATGCTTATGTCTCGACAAGGGATGTAAAAGACTACGCACTAATGATCGATTTGAATATTACCTCTCCGTTTATTTTGGCAGGGGGGCTCAGCAGATACGGATGATAAGCCCAGGGATGAACGATCAGTCGACGACTTGCTGTCGTTCATAGAGAATGAAGGTATGTGGAGACTTTGAATTGAAGTGAGAGTGCAGAATTAGTAGCATTGTGGGTGTTCCAGAATGCGAGCAGTTACAATGTGCATGCGTCTGCCCGTGCCAACTTACAGCATTTGCGTCTATCAAAAGTGTGGTGGCAGGTTTTATATTTTTTTTCCTTGTAGTTTTTGACTTGGCGTCGACCATTTCTTGTCCGGGGAAAGGTCAAGAAATCTGCTTAACCAGAATATAGCCCGGTAAAGTAAGGGTTGCATTGTGCATGACTCGGTTGCGAAGGGGTAAAAATTTCTCTGGAGATGCGTTCTTACTCGTGCAATTTTCAGGGATATTCCCGGTTTCCGTCGCTTAAGCGCCTCGTGGAGGATAAAGTCATGAAAGCAAAAACACAACCTGTATTCTGTCATCAGTGACCAGTCCCAATTTTAGGACTTACATGACCTCAAGCCAATCTTTATTATTGTAATTCTTCAAAGGAAAAAGTAAATGTACAGATCAGGCTTTCTGTGTGTAAGGAGGGTTATGGATGTAGGGGGCGGGGGGGAGCATGGTGAGATTTGGACCTTACCTACTGGCCTGGCCTTGCGGGGGGTAGTCCGTACTGGCCTTGATAGATACAGAGGTGGGACATTCAGGGGAAAAGCAATCTGCAAGGTGAGTTTATCCTCTCCGGCCAAGTGGGATGGAATCATGGAACCTAATAAGAAGTATTAAGAATTCATTTGAAACAGTGCTGTGGTGCAGCTGTTTTGGACATGAGCTGCGGTAATATTCTTTGCAGTAGAAGCCATGGCTCTGCGGCTAAGAAACAAAACATAAAAAAGAGGTGAAAAATCAGCAGCTCAATTTGTGGCCATGCTTAGCACACAGTTGTGAGAGGTAGTGTTAACATTGGGGAAGACTGAGCATACCCTGGATGTCCACAGACGCCTCAGCATCCTGGCCCGACTGGATATGTCTCTTATACACATCTAGATGTGTATAAGAGACAGATATAATCGTTGAACTGACCGGCTCCAGGTAAATTCAGAGATGTTTTCACTCATCTGACTCGATTGGAATTCGGACTTGGGTCTGTAGTTCAACAGTTCACGGGTGTACCAACTGAGGTAGGCCAGTTGGTCTCTGCGCACTCTTTTTGATGCTCTGCTGCTGCTATCTATCTGTACAAGTGCAAATCATGACCTTGATGCAGCGGCCGATTTTGTGTTCTGTTGATCGTACGTGGGGTTCAGACAGTTGTGTCACGTCAGTTTGGTTGAGGGAACCCAGGACTCGAGATGCAAAGAATTTCCACGGCCTTCCAGGCCTTTCTGAAAGGCAGGCCCTGGGCAGGAGTCGCAGCAACATACACAGACAAAAGGTTAGTGCGTTTACCAGCCATTTTTCTAAAAGACACGCAGTGCATGCAGCCGCGTCGGGTGGGATGTGCGCCGGGGTGTCGTTTGCCTGCTGGAAATCCATACCAGGCAAAAGACCCATTTTGCCTGGATGGATTTCCAGCAGGGAAATGGCACCCCCCGGTACATCCCGCCCGACATGGCTGCATGCACGGCACGTCTTAGAAACATGGCTGTGAAAACCACCAACCAGTTCGCACGAGGCTAAGTTGACAGAGCTACCTTCCAAAGCTCGCGAGTCTGTAATTGCACCTTCTCAATCACAATGCTCTTACTGCGTATACCGGTGAGCACTACCTAGGAACCTGCAACTGTGCCACTTTTCAAAGTGGCCTGCCGTTTTCGCTACCGGCCGAGGCCTGAAGCGCAATGCTTTTGTCGTGTATATATGGTAAGGGCATGACTTGGGTTCGGTCTGAACTGGTGGTGGTTTAAACCACCAGCTCACATGAGTCTAAGTTGACAAAGCTAGCTAAAAAAAAAAAAAAAAAAAAAAAAAGAAACAGCTCACATGAGCGTAAGTTGACAAAGCTATCTTGACCAAGCTATAGCTTCCAAGGCTCACGAGCTTGCGACTGCGCCTTTTCAGAGTGGCCTGCTGCTTTGGCTATACCGGCCCAGGCCCGAATCAGAATGCTCGTACTTGTGATAAAAACTACAAGAAAGAGTATGTGGTAGCTAGCCTTTTTAAGTTCTGGAAGCTTTCATGATTGGTGTGTTTTTGTTCTGGATCATGTGCTTTTGTTTGCGATATTGTTATGGATAAGACGGAATTTGACCAGTCCGGGGACTCCTTCCTGAACGAGCCGATGAGAATGGGGGCTTACGACTGGAGTTCTTGGATTTATTGTGTGGGCTCAAGATGGGTCCCTCTCATGGCAACATGAGAGTTCAATCACAACCTCTGACCTCCCCTTCTGTGAGGATAAACAAGCAGATTGATTCTTACTTCTGAATGCGATCGCCACCTGTTCCAGGAGGACCACAATCTGATGGGATGGCTTCTGCAGCCATTCCATGCAGAGGACTGCCTCAGTTTCGTTGCCACTGTATGCAACGGCTGCACCCTTGCATCACATGTCCAATTCAACGGCAAGGAGGTTAAGAAGTGGTAAAACGTGCTAGGAGTAGGAAAAGGAAAAAATAAATGAAAAAATAAATTGAAAAGAGGGTCCATCGTCGTGGTGAATGGCTTCTGCTGCCATTCTCCGCAGACGGTTGCCTCCGTTACATTGCATGCCCAATTCGACGTCAAGGTCGTTAAGAAGCGGCAAAAACAAAAAAAAAAACTACCAGAGGGCAAGGAGGAAAATAAAAAATTATATGAAAAGAGGGTCCACCGTTGCCTCCTTTTGTTTGTCTACTCTCACTCTTGTCTTTTCTTCCCTTCTTTTTGCATCTGTAGTCTTATATGGCCTATTTCCACCACTCGCCATCCGTCAGGTTTTTGAAGGCATCTGGACGTGGAGTTTGTCCGGATGCATTGAGAATTTTGGCGGATGCCGAGTGGTGCAACTAGGCCCATAGTCAAATAGTTGTGTGAGAATATGAATGGCTACCCCTGTCTATCTGACCTGTCTTGATCAACATGCAGAGATGTGCTCGAGCAGCTAATGACAATATGTCTGAGATAGTGACGGTGGTGCTGGACAGGGTGATTAACGGGAACTGACGACAATGGTTGTGGGTGTGCAGGTGGTTCCAAAAGGGACTGTATGGCTAGAGACTGTAGACGGCGATGTGGAGGAGGTAGAGAGGGATGTGGCAGTACTCTCGCCAGTGATTCACAGGGATATGCTGAGGTTTGGGCGGGGCTCGTCACGGGAATCGCCTATTGTTTTGCCGAAGCAAGTTAGCTCCGGCGTCTTGAAGCTGATACTGGAATATTGCAGATTTCATAAAGTACATGGTCGCTCCGACAAGGTATGTATGTGTGCCCTCCTTCCCTGCTCTCTGTATGTGTGCCCTCCTTCCCCGCTCTCTGTATGTGTGCCATCCTTGGCCGCTCGATGCCATGGCTTGCATTGCTTGGACGGGCCTGTTCTCGTGAATGCTCTGCGTACATGCCTTAGATTGCGGAGAGAGAGAGAGAGAGAGAGAGAGAGAGAGAGAGAGAGAGAGAGAGAGAGAGAGAGAGAGAGAGAGAGAGAGAGAGC